CGGGAATTCTTTTTCCAGCGCTTTGCGGCAATGGGGTGATATCGGGCGCTGGGCTAATGAACATGAGTCACACTTGGTGACCTTGGGTCGTTGGCCGGGCCTGATAAATGGTGATTGCGTGGCTTTGGGCATGCATCACACGTGTGGGGTCGAACAGAACAGCTCAATGACCTATGCGACTCAACCCCTTTGCTCTCATTCCGAGAAAAAACCAGTGAGTGCGTGAGCCTGATTATATTCGGTCATGTTGAGTCCTTGATTGAAACATGAATACATATGTTTCGCCCTTTGGGGGAAATATTTGACTTCACATATTTGAGTTTTTCCAATGCTATGGTTGTGGAACTCGGTTGCGTGCGGTTTATTGAACGAGGGAAAATAAATATATATGTATATATATATATAGATATATGTATATATATATGTGTACATATATATATATATGTACATATATATATATATATGTTACAATCATTTGCGCGTTGTATGTCTGTTTGTGGAAGCGGAGGGCAGGACCAGTTCAGTCAATACGCGACCCATACACGACCATAGATGCTTATCTGCTTGTGAGCTATATAAGGACAAGGGAAAAGTATTTGTCATATAGAACAACGCTCCACTGTGGGCCCCTGGCCAAAACGGAAGTGCAATGACGACGCCCAGCAAGGCACATTCACAGAAGCTTTGTAGCATGTTAAGCTTAGCATGTACATGGTCATAACTTCTTCCATAATCGTCTCATCATCATGGAAACTGGAAACCCAGAATCTTCGTGCTAGGGAACACCCTCATTTGACGTTTGTTTGCACTGCAACTTCAGCTACTAACAACAGCTTGCTTGAGCCATTTGCAGTTTTGCCGTGTAGAAACAAGCGTATATCGAGACATATATGCCTTAATCTTTCGGACAAGCAAATGACTACTGGCAGGGTCGGTCGGATCAACCAGTTTGCATCTCCACACATGCACACATGCACAAAACTCCGCAAGAAGCTTTGCAGCATGTGGTTCATAGCTTCTTCCATAATTAACAGTCTCATCATCGCTGATGAAACACAGAATCTTTCTCCCACACAAATACCAATCCGCAAGGACTTGTCTAGCCCAGCTAAAGTGCCAGGAAACAGCCTCATGATTTCAAATTCAGCTACTTGTAGGGTTTAGTTTAGGGTTAAGGTTTTAGGGTTAGGTTGTTTCACTCCGAGTTATTAGTTCAGGGTTAAGGTTTTGGGGTTTATTGCTAATGTATTCAAGGCAATTGCTTGCTTGAACCACTCTAACCTGCTCAAGGTAAATGTCCTGAATACCGCACTACACAATAAAGTGCAGATATGTTCTTTAGGAAGCTGTCAAGGCCGAACCAGATGCACACTCAGAAGGCGGACGCTTTTCTTCTCGGCGTTCTGAATTGGAACAAGAAGAAACCAACCCAGCCACCCATCTCCCGTTTCACCTTCCCCAAAGC